AAGTAATGGCGAATAAATCATAAGCATCCGTAAAGAATCCGACACCTTCAGATTGAAAATGAGAAATAAATTTTTTGTTTTATCATCGTTTATCATTCGAATGAATATTCTTACCAGACACCAAACATGCTCGTATATGAAAACAGCCAAAGCTTTTATTATCATTTAATTTTTTAAGACTTTCTAAACGCTGATTATTTAGTTCCTCTATGTCATTTAAATCGGCTCTGACATCGTGCTGCCTCTCTAGTGCTGTCGTTGATATCGAGTCGTTGTTTTCTGATTCACTAATTGACATTTTTTATCATATAATGCGATTAATTTTGTGCTTAAAAAGAATAATTTAATTTAAATTCGATATTTCCGCCAATCTAATAAGCAAGAAACTAAAGTTTGAACCTGACGATACGTATCAAACTTTATAGAAAAAACGCGGATCTGCGAAAAATTAGATAATCCTATTACAGCTCATTGTCAATGCAATGAGAATGAACCTATAAATTGTCCACGTTTTTCGGAAATACGCCTCCGAAACTAGGTTTTTCCAGGAAGTTTCTAGAGGAACACGAGGTTGCGAAGAAGATCTTAAAAAGCATTTCACAGGTTAATTCCAAACAATTACATGTATTTGAAAATTGCCACTTGTCGCTTGAGCACTTTCTTGGCGGAGATCTTATTGCGATAATCCCGATCTTTTTGGAAGGTAACATTTTGTCAATTACTTGTAAATGAATGCTATTTTTTTGGTATTTTCTTTGTCCTGTACTAGTACTGTGTGATGAAACAGCAAACAATAACGATAAACCTGCAATTTTATATTTCGGAATTTCGTTGTATGTACATGTAAAAAAAATACAGAAAATTTTAAAACATAAGTTTGTGCACCAATATCGATATATAATTAAATGATGCTATTTTAAGCTTAGTTCATTCATGCACATAATGAGAATTTAATTTTGTTCAGTGAAGTTATGTAAATCAATCCAAAAAATTCTGGTGCGTTTGTTATCGTGTAAATTAAAGAAGGTTCATAAGTTTTCGTTTTTCCTTTTGGTCATTTGTTTGACAGAAAATAATTACATTATATACATGCATAAAGAAGTAAATGAGAACAATTTCCGATAATAAGCAACCCCTTACGTTATCATTTTGAGGGTCGAAAAATTAGGGGGTTGCTCAAATTCGGGTAGTTTAGGATTGCCTTAAAAAAATACTGGGTAATGGTTGGGAAACAAGTAGAATAGCAAATATTGATAATATAGCTGAAATAATTAATGATGATAATTCTGCTAAAGAATTAGAATATATGTATAATGAAAATTAAATAAAATTATTTTAGTCTATTAATAATAACCTGAAGAGAAAGGGTTGCTTTATTATTGGGGATTGTTTATTATCAAGCATACACGGGGCATCTGAAACAGCAGCCCTGTATAAGTGTAGATAATTGATCTGAAAAGAAAGAAAGGTAGTACATGTATAATGTCTTTGTTTCGACCGATATGGTGTCTTTCTGTAAATTATTGTGTTCCGCAAAAGAGTTAAGTACATGTATTATGCTGCCAACTTTTTCGAATTCATTTTCTCAACAGATAGTATTGCGAACTGTTCTGTGCATATTTATTTGCATCAACATAATATATGCATGTAAATTTAATGCATGTAAAAATAGTGTCATTTAGGTTATGGTTAATCGCATCTTTTTATTTGGGGTGAATGGGTATTTATGAAATATCGGTATTAAATTTACATAATACATGTACGATTAAAGAATATGTTATTTATTTTTACTTACATACAGTATATTTGTAGTATATAAAGTATTGAATAAATTCATAAATTTAATATTATCCGAAATATATCAAATTTAATGAAATAAATATATGTATATTTAACATAATATTCAAAATCTGAATAATAAACTCTGTAAAAAGTTAATTGAATTATTACATGGTACCTATATCCAGTTATTGCATTAAGAATATAAAAATTATCAAATTAATGAAATATACTTTTTTCTTGAACAGTGGTTCAAACATAATTAATTAAACGGTATAAATAGCTTTAAGACACTCTCCTCTACAAGAGCATAGTCGGAATAATAAAATAAGATTCTTATAATAATTTCCTCTTATGATATTCTTATCGTTATAAATATGTAATTATTGTCAGAATCAGTGTTCTCAAATATATTTCTGTATATCGATACGTATAATATTATATAGAATTTGCTTAGTATAGTAAATTTTATTTTATAAATAATTAAATTCTAATTTACACAATGCCAACAAAGAGCAAGTTAAAATTTTAAAAATGACTATCGCTACTTATTATTATACATACATGCGGTAATTCACATTATTTAGGTGAATAATAATTTATTTAAATTTTATTAGAATTTTTTTTGGGGGAATATTTTTATCTTTTTAATAGTACTCAGATTAAATATTAAAAAAGTATGTAAATTCTTTTATACTTAATGCATAAAATATTTATCACATTTATAGTGGAATGGCGTTTCAACAAGTTTCTTTATAATGATTTTAATGTTAATAAATTTATGCTCAATTATTATCATATCAAACAAGTAAAAATTTTATAATTCTATATTACAAACTAAATATATTTGTAAATATTAATACTAAAGAAAAAATATGCAAATAATTTCAATTCTGATCAGAGATAATGGTAGTAAAAATTAAACATTTTGAAATTAAAAAAAAATCAGATATTTTTTCGAGAGTTATATTATTGTATTTATATTTAGTATAATAAAAAATAAAATTATTGTGAAACAAAATATTTATAATTATCTCAAGTATATAATATAGATTATAGCAACTATTTATCTTTTATCGAAATATCAAAAACTTAGTTATTTATTTGAAATTAATATAAAATTCATATATAATCATGTAAGTAATTCTTAAGATGAATATTCTTCTATCTTAGCAATATATACTTATGAAGATAAATTCGATTTTAATACTATATATAAATAGAAATTATTAAAGTTACTTGCAGACTTAGCTAACAATTCAGATTATAATTATATTTCAAATATTTTTTATTAATATTAATAATTATAATGATAGATTAATAATTAAATGCTTAGAAGAAAGTTATAATAATTAAAACAGTTGTATAAAAATATAATATATATATTTATTCTAATATCTTAATTGTATTATTTTATACTAATTATATGATTGAAGCTCCTTTATTTAAATTATTTATTTTCTTGGATAAGCTTGAAATTATATTAAAAATGTAATAAATTTATTGAAATAATGCTTTTATTATATATCTTTTTTAAATACTGTAAATTATAAATAGAATTAATAAGCTTTCTTACAAATAACTCTAATATAAAATATAATACTTTATTATTTTATTAATCACAAAATAAATTTTTCATTTATATAAAATTATTAAAATAAAAAATTTAATAACTTAGCAAAAGAAATTTAATTTTTATATATATTATAATTCTTTTGATATGAATCTATAATTTAAAGTATTAAATTAAAAAAATGTTAAAATTTTATTATAATTAAATGAAAAAATTTTTTATTTACTTTCAAATTTAGAAATAGATATGAATTATTGCAAAAAGATTAATGTATTAATATAAAAATTAATAATTACTTCTAATAAAAATCATTCAAATTTTAGCTAATCTTTATAATTTTTTTATATTAAATAAAAAATAATCTAAATTTACTAAAATAATACTTTATTTATTATTAAATTAAAGATATTTTAAATATTATTACTATCAATTTACAATATTAAAATCTTCAAATTACACAAGTAAATTATTCTATATTTAATAAATATATATTTTAAATTTCATAAAAATTAAATCAGATATTAAGATTCAAAGTTTAGTAATTAAATTATTTACTATATAATTTTTATATTAATTTTAATATAGTAAATTTAAGAAATAATAATTTAAAAAGTTTATTATTAGTAAAATTTTTTTTATAAAAGATATATAATAAAAATTTTTATATTTAAATAAATTTCAATATCTAATAGCTTAATTAAATAAGATAAAATTAAAATTTTATTTTGAAAAAATAATTTATTAGTATTTATCTGATATATCAAAATTTTTGTAATAAACTATATATATTATAATAAATTTGAATTGAGTTTTTATTATTCTTATCCATTATTATATAAATATTTTAAATTTTTATATGAGTATTATTATTATTAAGCTTTATTTTTCTATTTAGAATTACTTAAGATATGAAAATAATTATATTAAAGCTTTAATATATTAAAAGATATTGTTTACAAGAATATAATGTAACAATTTTGATTGAATTATCTTTCTTTAGATCTCTTTTAGTTTAGATCTTCATTTTGCATTATCTGTATAATAGATTATATTTTCAAGAAGATCATTTTCACTCTGAATACATAAATGATCATTATGTATTTAATACATCTAGATTTAGCACATTATTACTTAGATAATCACTATGTATATCATAATTATTAATTTAGATTATTAATATTTTTAATTAATTATTTTCTTTTATAATTTTATTCATTTTTCTTTTATTATTATTATATTTATAATCATTATTATTTATTGAATTATAATTAGTTATCCTTTGGAGATATGAATTAAGTTAATTAATTCTATTCAATCATATATATTTTAAATTAGAAATTTATTATTGATTTATTCACTTTTGTATTCATTTTTTCACTATAAATATGATCTCTCTGTTTTATACTTTTATCTCAAACCTGAATATTTTTAAATAATAAAAATAATTATAAGTTATAAAATTAAAACTTATTTATATCATATTTTATCTTGTTTATAATTATTAACAAAATAATCTTATAACTTGATAGCAGCAGATATAATTATTACAAATATCACTCTCTAACATCTTACACATTATATACACTTCATATATACACATCTTAATTTTATTTAAAATAATATTTTATCAGAATAAATATAGAATAATTTGTCTAATTTATACAGAGCATGATCAAATTAATAAAAATAGTTAAAGAAGATGATCTTTCTGGTCCTAAGTCCTCACCTCACCTCTCAATTAAATTATTAATTTATTTAAAAGAATCAAATAAAAATATACTTGTCTGAATTATACAAATTAAATCATATTTCAGATTTAAGAAATCATAAATAAACAAACTCAAATATAATATACTGTCACTTTCTTGACAGATGCAGTTTTACATTAGTATCTTAATAAAATTAAGACAGATAATAGTATCATCTCTTTTGAAAATTAACAAGCT